GATTAAGCAGAGCTTGAAAATCTTACTCATCATACATTCGAAAGTAACTACCACTCATATATACAGTCAGGGCCATAAGTATTTGGACAGTGACACAATTTTTGTAATTTTGCCTCCGTACAGCACCACAGCGGATTTGAAACAAAGCGGTTAAGATGTGACTGAACTGAAGACCTTCAGCTTTAATTCAGAACTTTATCACAAATATTAACCAGTAAGGAGTTACAGCCATTTTTCACACAATTCCTCTATTTTCACAGGCTCAAAAGTAATTGGACACGTGACTGATAAGCAGTTTCAGTCCAGTTGTGGCCTGTCCCCTCATTATTTAATGATACATTTATCAAAATAAAGGAGATAAAAGGTCTAAAGTCGCATTTTGAACATGCATTTGGTCGCTGTTCATGACCTCACTGGAATTTGGATGTCAGTATGAGTGAAGGGGGCAAACAACAAAACAAACCCATCAGAGAGAGAGCAGGAACTTCAGGAGTGGCCAAATCAACAGATGATCACAGAATTCTTTCCATGGTGAAAAAAAAGTCCTTTACAAAACAAAACCCTTTATGGAACCCTTTTCAAAAAGGTTCTATATAGAACCACATAAAACACATTTTCTACCAATCTACAGAACCATTTCACCATGCAAAGAACCCTGCATGCAAATGTTTTTTTGAGTGTTCATGGTTCTACATAGAACAGGCGTGATCTGCGTTTATCCTCAACTAACACTCTGGATCCAGTTCATGAAGGTCTTGCTAATTAACTGATGAGCTGAACCAGGGGTGTTTAGGGAGGCAGTGAAAACTGAAGTCTGCAGAGTTTCGGCCTGCAAGGACTGGAGCCTGACACACGTGATAGAGAACCAGTGTCTTTACTAAAGAACCCTTGAAGGACCATCTTTTTTAAGAGTGTAGAACACTGAAACTGGACATCTGAGACATGCTGGAAGGTTTCATGGACTGGTGGTTCTAAACATTGTAATTGTACTTGGATGGAACCAACTTCTAAGACTGAACTTTGGAGGCCTGAAGCTGAAATAAGGCAAAATGTGGACATTCTAAATGCTTAAAAAATATTGGGACAAACGGTAATAAAGAGACTGATTTTTTAATATATTGATGTATTTTCAGTGTCTTTTAACTTGGCAGTATTTTCAGCACATTCCTGGGCAAGAGCCAATCAGAAACTGACATGTAAATGAGCTCATATATTGACCCACATTAAGTGAAACTCTGGTCAGCTGCCAAAAACCAAACCAAAGAAACAAAGAAAAGTAAATTTCTCAGAAACAGACCTACGAGTTTTAAGGGAAGACGTTCTGTAAATCATAGTAAACTGTAAAGATGCTTTTCAACATTTAATCAAGAAAGTGTCTATCAATAAATGGTTTTATTCTGATGTATAAGATGCATAAATATTGTAATTATATCTATTCAACCGCTAATTTGTAGGAATTATATTTTAACATGTAAGATTTATTACAGTCAGAGTGGAGCAGGAGTTAAATATTTATATTTAGTTGTTGTGGCCTCTGCGTAATAATTTATTGTTAAATATATCTGATTCTTTTCTGACACTGAAAAACAAATCACTTGCATTTGATGTCCTTTTTGATGTTTTTGTTTTATATTTCAGTTCTTTTTGGTTTAAAAACAAAGAAGCACCGACAACCACATGAATCTTGTACTATACTGCGTTCTCCGTTAGTTAATATGGTAATGTAACCCACATTTACAAATTTGCATGCATACATATATATAACATATATATATATATATATATATATATATATATATATATATAACATATATATATATATACAATATATATATATATATATATATATATATATATTATGTATGTGTGTGTGTGTGTGTGTGTGTGTGTGTGTGTGTGTGTGTGTGTGCTCTGTTCTAGCCGCTGTCCGTTGCTGGTCAGGGCTCTCTCACCCTGAGCGCTGCACCACTGCATAAACAGACATTTGGCTTCTGAAATTCTGAATCTGACAGAATGCATTAAAGCCGAGCAGGGAGGTGTGGGAGGGTCAGCGTCGGCTCAAATGATGTGACTCTGCTCTCTCGCAGTGAAGCACAGCTTCTCCAGCTCTGCATAGAGGAGATTTTACAGAGGGTGTGAAGTGTAAAGGTGTTTTGAGTGCATTATGTGCATGTTTTATTAAATACTTCATACAACTTTACTATACTCCCCATCCATAATCCCAAGATTCCATCAATATTCGTCCATTTCTAAAAACAATGTTGTTTACAAATCGAAGGAAAAAAACCCTCAAACCTCCAGACTGTCAGCACTTGAAATGTGGTTGAAAATGTATCTACATACAAATATCTGGGTTTAGTTTTGGATACCATTAAACATTTCAGCCTCATGTTATACGTTTGGTGAAGAAACTGGAGTTGAAGTCTTGTTTATCCTGTGAAGCTTCTTGTTTCTGCTACTTTATCAGTGATTGATTACAGAGACGTTGTTTACATGCCCACACCTCTGTACTGTTTACACACTGTTTATCATGGAGCTTTAAGATTTATTACTAATTTTAGGTCAATTATTCTCCACTGTGTTCTTAATGAAAGAACAGCTCGGTTCTGCACGTAGGCTGATTCATTGATATACTTTAGTTAATAAATTATACTTGGTTTATTACCTTCTTATCTGTGTAGTATTATATATCAAGAGGGAACCAGGAATTATGATCAGTGCTCTCAAAATGTGCGTCTTCTTCAGATACCGTATGCACTGAATTCGTAAAAAACAAAATTTTAGTTATGCTGCACCGTCTGGCAAGAATCTGTTACAGAAAGACTCAAACCTTCAGGGACATGTGTCACTGAATAGCTTTAAACCCTCTTAAAGTAGTGGATGTGGATAAAACTGTTAATGGGATATTATTTATTTGGAGATATTATTTGGGTGGTGAACCATTGACCCCTGAAATCATGGACATAGAAGGGACTCTAGGTCTAAGCATCTTTTCTCTATGAGAAACATAAATGGTGTTTTTGAAAAACTGATTATGGGCTGCTGATGATCGATTTTTCTGTTTTTATATGTGTATTGTGTTATTTGTTTTGTGGCAATGATTTGTTCTGTTTTGCTGCCTCTCTTGGCCAAGACTCTCCTGAAAAAGATATATTAAATCTCAGAAAAATTCTGGCTGAATAAAAGGTAAATAAAAAAGAAATAAAAATTTCAATTATTCCAACTATTCTCTAGTTGGTTTGTATGAAAAGAGGGCAAACAACTGAATCTGAAAACCCAGTCCAAGTCCAACTGAACTGGGTTTAAAGAGCCCATTTACTTAAACTTACCGTATGTTTTCCAAATGGAGGAGAAAACCTAGTAAATATTATGTTCAATTTCAAACAGAAAATCAGAAAATTGTAACTGCGCAACGAACAAAATGAAACTACTGTTAGGAATAAAGGTTCTGTTCAGGTACGTTTTCCATTCATCAAAGTACAAACAGTGTAAATGTTCCCTCAAAGGTACAACAGTGGTTTTAAGGTCTGATTGTGAACCTTAAATAAGTTTTTCCAGGTGAAAAGTTTGTATTTGTACCTTTTTCATAACCGAATGTTTTAAACAGAACAGTAAAATAAAAGCCTGGAGACAAGACGGGGTGTGTGGAGTCAGTACAGCTTAGAACATATCATTTCAGTGGATTATGGTTCAGTTATGTTCCCTGACTAAAGGTACTGAGATGAACCCTTGAGGGTTCCACCCCAGTGATAAGAGGGGAACTGCCCCAGTGATAGTCTAGTACCTTTATTTGAGTTTAGAGCTGCTGCTGCCACAAATTAAACCATAATAACATAAAACATAAAACACTGCATGAACAAACTTCTCTGATTACATAAAGTCTACAGTAAGTTTGCTGAGGTGCGTGGTTTGGTTTCAGTGTTGTTGATGTTAACTTCTGGTCAGCGATTTAAAATTTGCCTAAGGCGTCCATTTACGTAGATCAAAGAGAGCTCCAGACAAATGTAGCAACCAAATGAAATGTACACACATAATTTATTCAGTAGCCAACATATTAATGCATTGGAAACGGATCTGTTTTAATTCATTTGCATATCATTTCACTCACCACCAGCATAAGAACAAGAGCAGAGTGTTTATTTCTAGGCACTAATGCACTCAATGCACTCATTTGGCTTTGTTTTGTTATTGAGGAGAAGTGAAAACAGACTAATTTTCATTTCTTTAATGGTGTAAACTGACCACTTTGAGCTCCAGGTGGATGTATTAATACAAATATATACATATATGAAAACTGAAACCCTAAGGTTTTACTACACACATCTATAACTTATGAATATTTCAGGTTGTTTTCATTGAAGTCCATGTATCCAAGTTACAGAACAACATGCCTTAATGGGGGTTAACTAAAGAGGGTTATTGCTTTATTTCTGCTATTGTACAATTGTAATTACACATTTATTACATAGTAAGTAGCACAATAATGATATTTACATTTATATTCTGTTTCATTTGAGTTTTTCCAAGTCAGGAAATTTAAATAAAAAAATGCCAAAAAAGACTAGTCACAACAACAACTTTACATCAACTTCAAATCAAACTAAAACACCTCATCTTCTACTCAGAAATACAGAAGTAGTATTGATCAGAACCCACACTTCCAACAAAACTGTGTCAGTGAGGAATAATGAATATCGAATTACAGTAAGGGTTAAAGAGAGGAGCTCTTGTGAAAGCTCTAAAATCAAGCTCATCAGCCTGAGGTCAAACCTACTGATTCAGGCTCTATCGCTCTTTTTCGACATCAATTCTCTCAATTACTCTCTCTGTTCAGTCAATTCCTCAGTCCATCCAAATTCCAGCTAAGCAGTGTATTCTCTTCAATGCTTCATTACCCTCAAATGGAAATTGACCACTCGCTTCCAACCACAAAGCTCTTTAATGTTGATCCACAGAGACCAAAAAAAACAACCAAATTAAAAGTAGGAGATGCGTCTTACCTTGCCGACGTAAAGCGGGTCAGTGCCGGTGTATTCCTCCAGAACAAAGAACTGATTCCACACCCAGTTTCTTTTCTGTCTTTGCAGGCTTTCCCAAGGGCCTCCAGGGGCCTTCCGGGGCTCCGATGTTGTGGCGCCGACCCCTGAGCTCAACCCCCAGCATCCCAGGTCCACTAGGGGGAGCAGTAGAATTGCTAGCCAGATGGGGCTAAACACGAGGGGGCCACAGCAGGACATCTGGAGGGGCCCGTTTAAGAAAAGAAGAAAGAAAGAAAGAAACGCCTACGCCGACGGAGCGGCTGAACGGGATTCTGGGCTCTCTTGTGGCGAAGTGTTCAACTAAGCAAAAGTGTGAAAAAGTGAAAAAGTAAGAAAAACGTAGTCATTGAAAAAGTAAGAGCGAGGGAGGAAAAAAAACGCAGACCTTTGCAGTTTCACGCTTCGCTTCTGGTGTCGTTCGACTTAAAGTGATGAAACTCCTCGGGGTTGGAAGAACAATGAAGCTCGCTTTGAGGCCAGATGAACGGAGGTCAGGTAGGAAATCCCTTCTTTTTGGGACAGGAGGAGAAGCTGGCACCTATTGGACAGGACACAGAGAGAGAGAGAGAGAGAGAGAGAGAGAGAGAGAGAGAGAGAGAGGAGAGAGAGAGAGGGAGAGGGAGAGAGAGAGAGAGAGAGAGAGAGAGAGAGAGAGAGGGAGAGAGAGGGAGAGAAAGAAAGGAACTGCCATCAGCAGAATTATCCTGGTGACCGCAGTCACTTTATCCAGCACGTATTAAGTATGCTGATGCAATTCTAATGAGAAGTGATGAGGAAGAGGCGCCAAACGAGAACAGAACAAACCCGAGTAAATCAACGCTGTCCTTGGTGTAAACGAACACGCCTTAGACCCACACTCACAGACAAAAGCACAGCTGGATGTGTTAATAAGAGGCATCTCTGATATTAAAGCATACAGAGCTGTGCTAACTAGGCCTTCATTCCTCAAACCACTACAATGCTGCTCCTCTGAAGAGTTTTCCACATTATGCCTTAGAAGTTCAGTTATTACTGCCTTTTCACCAAACTATTTCAGTGTCATTATGCAATAACGTTATTAATTACATAGTTAATTACATTAAAAATTAGAATAAGGAATACATGGTACCACTTTTAGATGAGACTCCCATTATGGAAGGTTTATAAATAGTTTGAGAATAGTTTATTTATTCGGTAATAAACACCTTCATTAACCATCATAAAACAGCATTGATAAGCAGTTATATGAATAAAAGGGCAACAGTGATTTGATGCCTGCCTAATACTGAACCCAGAGTGTACAAAAACCTGGCCAACATCATCTGCACTGTTAAAAACATAAAACACAGTTATAACACATTAATAAAAGGGCAGAAATGAGCTCATCTGATGAATATGTAATAACATATCTGATAAAGCTAAATGTAATAATGCTGACTGGTGGAGGAGACTAGAAGGGGAAACTTCCTAAACAAGCTTTAAGTTGGCTTGACAAAGCCTTTGCAATAGTATTCCAGATGGTTGCTATGGTGTTGCTATGCCATTGCTATTTTATCCCAGGTGGTCGATAAGGTGTTGCTATGTTATCCCATGTGGATGTTAAGGTGTTGCTATGGTATCCCAGGTGGTTGCTAAGGTGTTGCTATGTTATCCTATGTGGATGTTAAGTTGCTAATAGACCTTTACTATGGTATACCAGGTGGTTGCTAAGGTGTTCCTAGGCTATTGCTATGTTATCCCAGGTGGTTGTTAAGCTGCTAATAGGCCTTTGCTATAGTATCCCAGGTGGTTGCTAAGGTGTCACTAGGCCATTGCTATGGTATCCCAGGTGGTTGCTAAGGTGTTGCTATGTTATCTCAGGTTGTTGTTAAGCTGCTAATAGGCCTTTGCTATGATATCCCAGGTGGTTGCTAAGGTGTTGCTAGGCATTGCTATAGTATCCCAGGTGGTTGCTAAGGTGTCACTAGGCCATTGCTATGGTATCCCAGGTGGTTGCTAAGGTGTTGCTATGTTATCCCAGGTGGTTGTAAAGCTGCTAATAGGCCTCTGCTATGGTATCCCAGGTGGTTGCTAAGCTGTTGCTAAGCTGTTTCTATGGTATCATAGTTGGTTGCTAAGGTGCTGCTTGACCATTGCCATGTTATTCCAGGTGGTTACTAATATATGATCATTTATGTGTGCTAGTATATATGTGAGTGTGAATGTCTGTGAGGGTCAGTGTGAGAGATGACTTTTATCAGAGTTTGTGTCAGATGTGATTTTTTTTTCTTCAACACAAATTTGTGTTTGAAAAAACACTGTATAAAAACCTGGTCATCAGTCCCAAAGGCACAAGCAGACTGTTATCATATAGACTGTACAATCCTGCAAAGTTTTGTGTTTCTAGTTTGAAAATTCTGACCTGTGAAATGGTACAAAGCAAAGTTTAGGATAACAGAACAAAGAACAGTAAGTTGGCTTTGTCAGTCAGTGAGATCTGAGGTTTAACATTTAATAAATGTTGGTTCACTGTTTGATAAGCAACAGGTCCATACTTATGGGTTATAAATGCTTATGATTTTAAGGTGTTAATGACCTAATTAATAACAAATAATAAACTATATCATTCATAAATCCTTTATTTATATTATTCTGATGATGTCAGGCAGGCAACTTCAACTGATGTAAGAAAGGAGTAAAAGACTTTTTCTTTAAAAATACTACCTTTAAAACTGATTTTTAAAGCATATTCACTTTTATATTTTCATAGTTTTATTTCTTGATTTGATTTGTTGCTGTAGTAGGAATATTCTGAACTCTGGAGATGTGCAGGTTATACGGATCCACCAATCAGCTGATCTTCTCCTCGTAGTGTTCTCTGGAGACGCATCTAAAGTGTCCTCATATCTGTTCATGTGTTTGCGGTCATTCTTGTCTGTGTTGTTGGTGTTTATCCATCTGCAGGGCTGTATCTGCAGTAACGGTGATGAGATGAGCTCCATCAGAGCACAGTCAGAGTCAGAGTCACAGCTCCTGGGTGTTGTTAATGACGTTATCCAATACTATAAATAAAAGGCGATCATATTAAAGTTTTGATTCTGCACTTCTGACTTTCCTCCAGATTTTTTCCTGAAGAGCTTCAGTGTTGACCACAAAACAGGACAAAAATGGAAAGTACTGTAAAGGACTGTACACATAACTGTAACTTTCTATCAAATTAAAATTATAATAACACATCTCTACTGTAACTTAAAAACAAATGTAGCAGCATTTCAGAACTGAGACTCCACAGAATTCCTCCACTTGGGTCAATGAGTTTACACCTCACAATCCTCATATTTGTTATTACACCATATCTTAAAGCTTAATATTGCGAATATGCATATACCTCCATAAAGGGTGCATCATAAATCATCAATTGAAACAAATATAAAGGGGGGAGGACACATTACGACCCTATAAAGTGAACCGAGTTGACATTCAGAATATTAATGAGAGGATACATGATATCTGAGTGATTACTGAATAATTTAGCACCAGGATGCAACAAACTAAACTCAAAATAAACTGATGCTGTAGGTTAATATGCAGGAAAAATGATCTGGAATATTTTACACCATGGCATTATTATATGACATTTTTTAAACTATGGAAAATGTTCATTTATTTATCAATTTATGTATTATATTGTTTTTTTTTTGCCATTTCAATTTATATTATATAAATTTATATTATATAAATTCACCTATTTGTATGCAGGTATATATGTGGTGTAGGATATTGTGTGGTACAGGTTTTTAAAGTTTTTCGACTCATTTTTACTGTTTAATAAAACACAAATTAAATTACATCGAAAAATTCAGAGTGTCATTGACCTGAGCCTGAGAGAATTAGCAACCCTAACACACACACACACACACACAGACACACACACACCTATGTGTGAGTTGTGAGGAAAGGGCAGGGGGACGTGGCTGTTTGGAATATCAATTGGGGTTTGTTGGGCTCCTTTGTGCAGAATGCTGGGGGGGGGTTCGGGGGTTACCTCAGCAAGGTCATTACTGTGTGTTTTTGCCCCCCCACACACACTCGCACACTTCCACAGAGAAAAGCCACAAGCCACATGATCTGTGTCACCATCGTCCACTGGATTAAAAATAAATCTGAGCTGTCAGCAACATGACGGACTCTCTCTCCCTCCCTCCCTCTCCCTCCCTCTCTCTCCCTCTCTCTCCCTCTCTCTCCCTCTAAGTCTCTTTTCCCTCTCTTTCGATGTCTCTCTCTCTTGATCCCTCTTTCTCTTCCTTCTTCCTTCTCTCTCTATGTTTCTCTCTCTCTCAGTGCCGACCTCTGGTCCTGTGTGTGTAATGCTGCAATAACCCCCCCCCACACACACACACACACACACATCATCGTAAAGCCCACATTAATGAGTGTATAGTCTGTAATGAACACCACAGCTCATCATGTCTTTCTCTCTCTCAGAGAGAATCAGTGAATCAGAGAGTTGCTCAACTACTGGTTTGATGTTGAACTCCACCTTTAACGGCTCAGAGCCGAGTGAGCTCTCCTGACATCTCTCTGGGGGATCACTGACCGCTGACCACTCCTCTTTCCCTGTTTTCTCTCTCTAAAGCATCGCAAGCAAAACGGTGTTTGACACAAACTGACAAGACAGCAGTTAAATCAGAGCTGCTGCCCTGGAATTCACCTCACACCCCTCAGCTTCTCTCAGCTTCCCCCTCAGCTTCCCTCAGCTTCCCTTAACTTTTTATTTGGCAACTCTTTCTCAGTATCTCCCTCAGCATCTCTCAGCTTCTCCTTCAGCTCCGCCCTCAGCTCTGCCCTCAGCTCCTCCCTCAGCTCCTCATTCAGCTTCTCTCAACATCCCTCAGCATCTCCCTCAGCTTCTCTTAACTTTTTATTCAGCTTCTTTCTCAGCATCTCCCTCAGCTTCTCCTTCAGCTCCTCTCTCAGCTCCGCCCTCAGCTCCTCATTCAGCTTCTCCCAACATCTCTCAGCTTCTCCCTCAGATTCTCTCAATGTCCCATTCAGCTTCTCCCTCAACATCTCAAATTCTCTGTCAGCTTCTCCCTCCAGCCAGGAGAACGTTACCTACTGGAATGCACAGTGCCAACAGTACAGTGTGGTGGAGGAGGGATGATGGGCTGGGCTGTTTCTCAGGGTTTGGGCCCCTCAGTTCCAGTGAAGGGTGATGCTACAGCACAAAGACATTTTAC